ATGGCACTGGCCAGGTAGCTAAGTTGGTTGGAGCATCATCAGTTCACCAAAAAGGTTGTGGGTTCCATTCTGAGTCAGGACACATACCCAGATTGCAGATTTAATTCCTGGTCAGAGCACAAAAGGGAGACAACCAATCAATGTCTCTTTGTCTCTCTCCTTTCCTTTCTCTAAAATCAATAAAAACATCCTTGGGTGAGGATTTTAAAAAACCTACTAAAGTGAACCAGCTTATCTGTAACTAGAGGCCTGTTGCACGAGAAGATTCGTGCAATAGACCTTCCCTTCCCCTGGCTGCTGGCACCGGTTTTCCTCCGGTACCCGGAACCCAGGCCTTCGCTCCAGCCGGAGCCGCCTTCAGTCTTCACTGCTCCAGCCAAACTGCCTTCAGTCTTTGCGCCACTGCTTTGTGCCTATGTATGCAAATTAACCACCATCTTTGTTGGTGGTTAATTTGCATATCTCGCTGATTAGACTATGGGCAGCGTAGCGAAGGTACGGTCAATTACCATGTTTGTCTACTGTTACATAGGATAATGAAAGGGTAATATGCTAATTAGACCAGATAGCCGAACAACCTTCCGGATATCCTTCCAGATGAAGCCACCGTAGCGGGGCCCAAGGCAGAGGCGGTTAGGGGCGATCAGGCAGGCAGGCAGGCGACCAGTTAGGAGCTATCAAGCAGGCAGGTGAGCAGTTAGGGGTGATGAAGCAGGCAGGCAGAGTGGTTAGGGGCAATCAGGCAGGGAGGCAAGTGGTTAGGAGCGATCAGGCAGGTGAGTGCTTAGGAGCCAGTGGTCCTGGATTGCGAAAGGGATGACCAACTGCTGGCTTAGGCCTAATCCCTGTAGGGCCTAAGCCAGCAGTCGGATGTCACCCAAGGGGTCCCAGATTGCGAGAGGGTGCAGGCCAGGCTGAGGTACACTACTCGCCCCCCCCCGCCCCAACACACACACACACATTTTGTGCACCGGGCCTCTCTATCTATAAAAGGCTAAGTGATCGGCTGGTAGGTATGACACACATTGACCATCAGGGGGCAGACGTTCAACGCAGGAGCTGCTGAGCAACAGCAACTCTGCAGAGTGCCCTCTCACACTCCAGGACCCCTTGGGGGATGTCGGACTGCCCGTTTCGGCCCAATCCCTGCAGGCCAGGCCAAGGGGCCCCACCTGCCAGAGGGACCCCGCTCACTCCACAGACACCTTTTGAGCTCCTGCACTGCTCCTCTAGTAATATTATCATTAACATAACTTGAAACTCAGAGTAGTATGTATACATTAATGATTTCCATGGATAAATTCTTCTTGAGCCTTTCCATAAGAATTTTAGAAGTTTTGTTTGGAGACACTTAGATCAAAACTTGCCATGCCACATTAGACAGATGAATTTAATTTGTATTTCTAGTGCCATTTCACCAGAAAGCAACAGAATATGCATCTTTTCAATGCACACGGGACCAGCATTATCTATAATAGCCAAGATATGGAAACAACCTAAGTGTCCATCAAGAGATATTTGAATATAAAAATAAAGCTGGGGTACATATATTCAATGGAATATTACTCAGCATTAAAAAAGGATGAAATTTGCCGGGGCCGGTTTGGCTCAGTGGATAGAGCGTCAGCCTGTGGACTGAGGGGTCCCGGGTTCGATTCTGGTCAGGGGCATGTGCCTGGGTTGCGGGCACATCCCCAGTGGGGATGTGCAGGGGGCAGCTGATCGATGTTTCTCTCCCATCGATGTTTCTAACTCTCTATCTCTCTCCCTTTCTCTCTGTAAAAGATCAATAAAATATATTTTAAAAAAATAAATAAATAAAAATAAAAATAAAAAACAATGAATTTTACCATTTGCAACAACATAGATGAGCCTAGAGGGTATTATGCTAAATGAAATAAGTCATACAGAGAAAGACAAATACCATATGATTTCACTTATATGTGGAATCTAAAGAACAAAATAAACAAAACAAAAAGAAAACTGATGATTATCAGATGGGAGGGGGGTTAAAGGATTGGGCAAAAAAGGCAAAAGGATTAAGAAATACAAATTGGTAGTTACAGAATAGTCACAGGAATATAAAATAGAGCACAGGGGAAAATAGTCAATAATATTGTAATAACTATATGTAGTGCCAGGTGGGGGAATCACTTCATAAATAATATAACTGTCTAACCATTATACTATACACCTAAAACTAATATAAAATAATATTGAATGTCAACTGTAATTGAAAAAAACAAACCTGTCATGGAAAAAACAAAATATGAGAAAAAGCAATAAAACTTCCCAATAAAAATATGAGTCCACTGGAAACTTAAGTTAGAGATGAAGGTTCTCAAGAATCAAGGCAAATGCCTTCATTATATTTTTCTACTAAAGCTGAATTTTTTTCACATTTTTAATTACATAATTCCAAATAATTTCAGATTGTAGTACGTAGAGAAAATGTTTAGAGAAGAATATGGAAAAACCACTTTTGAAATACAGTATTTGTGCTTGCTATTTTAATTGCAAACACTAAGATTTTTTCTGCAATGTATATCGTTTATTTGAAATAGGAGTTCCATGAAAATTAAAAACAAAAAAAGAACTGAGTCATTAGTGGTAACAAGGTAGGTGACCAATAATATAGATGAAAGGAATATTTCTCAAGGACATGAGAAACACCAAAAATTAAGAAACATGTAAAAGAAGAAAAGTAAAAACAGACTAAAAAATGCCAATTAGATAGTAAAAGATGTAGCAGAAAACATGTTACAAACTACAAAAGAACAGTTTCTATAAGGAAGATAGTCAATAATATCTAACACCCCAAAACATCAGTGTGACCAAGACAAACAAGGTCAATGAATCTGGCACCTAGTACACTTCACTGAAGCAATTTTGGTTCAGGAGGGAGAGAAGAATCCAAATTACACTAGTTTGGAAAATATATGGAAGTATGAAAGTGGAAGCAGCAAGAATAAATTATGGTTTCATAACTGTGCAAATAAATAGAAAAAAGTAAAAGGTAAAAGTAAAATACTGTAGTAACCTGAAGCCAAGGAAAAGACATTAGAAAGGATTATTTACATTTCTTTTTAAGAATTGGGGGAAAATAGGATATGTTTTATGTTTGAGAGGGTCAGGGGAAAGAAATAAGGAGAAGAAGGATCTGATTTATGGAGCACGTTTTTTTAAACTAGGAAGAGGGAAGGGATAAAGAAAATGGGAAGATGTAACCTTGGCAAAGAGCTGAAAAATTCATTCCACTGAAACAAAAGGAAAGGAAAGATGAGTGAAGATAGAAATGTTAAGATTGCTGATACCCTCCAGCTCTACTTATCGGTAAAGCAGGAGAGGACATGGCTACGAGAGAAAGAAAAAAGACAGTGTAGATCTGACTGAAGAACCACCTTCATGAATTAGATTAGTATAATTAATTACGAAAGAGAGTCTTATTTTGTTTTGTTTTTAAATGTACTTATACTCCACAAATTGCTTATTTTTAAAAGATTCAAAGATAAGGGACTTTTTCAGAAATATTATTAAAGTTTGCAATTTAAATACTGAGACAAAATATCAGGGAGTAGAAATGGGAAAGAGAATCTTCTTAAAAAGCCTCAACTTCATCTTTCTACCTATGACAAATTTTAGCATCTAAAAAGATAAGCGGAATCTTAAAATATCAATATAGAAGAAATATGTGTACTTTTCTCATTTTCTACACATACGTAATTTTGCACTGAAATTCTACTTTGCACTTTCTATTGACACTAGTTTGGATTAATATAATCAGTATAGTATTTTAAAGAACCTGAAATGCTTGACATCATGCTATGATACTCTGGATCAAATAGGATTCATGAAAAAAACAAAAAGGAGTAATTATAATAGATACATTTATTGATTGCTTACCTGTGCCAGACACTGTTCGAAGTGCTCTTTGTATGAACTCTATCACTGTTTACAACAATCCTTTAGATTAGATAACTATCCCAATTTTACAGATGAGAAATCTACCTAAGAAAATTCAAGCAATCTGGGGTTTCATAGGTCAGATTCTAACTCGTAGGCTACAGTGCACATAACATAAAGAGTTCTGAGATTGAAATGAGAAGATCTGGCATCAAATTCAAGTATCACCACTTACTATTGGTTGACCTTAGAGAAATCACCTTCCCTATTTACACTTCCTCATTAAAATAATCTGTTCGGGGTAAACCCATAAGCTATTTGTAAATCAGACAGGTGTTTTTCTAAATAGTAAATATATACGACGTTATTATTAAAGAAGAGCTGCTACATAAAATGCATATGGTATTAGCAATATCATTTTCCAAACCCTATCAGAAATTCTCACACTTTCATTTACATTATCATATGCAAAATCAGTAACTTTTAAAATGCAGGTTTCCAATTATTATCTGCCAGCTTCTCTTACTAATTTACTTACTCATGAAGATGTAAAGCTTCTACATGGTACCTCTGACAGATGTAAATAGCAGTAGAGGTAGTTGTTTTTGTTATCAATAGCTCAACCATCAGCAGAATCACCAAACAAACTCAAAATTTAAAGATTTGTGTATAGGTTTGTATATGTGAAATAATTCAAAGGTTCTTCACACTGCGGTAACTTTCCCTCCATAATTCATGCTGCACTTCACCCTGCTAATATAATATGATTAGCCTGAATGTCTCCGATGAAATTCTATTTAAATTAAAACAATGTATTTTTCCTCCTCACTCCCCTGGTGACTCTTTTCACATTCATTTTTCTTCCAGTAAAATTGTGTTTGGTCGGACTGTTGCTTTCTGATTATCCTTACTGTCATTTGAAGCAAAGAACTTTGAGTCCACTCTTCTGGTAAACCAAAAACTCCTGACATTTTACGCACTTGTAACTAGATTTCTAGACATTGCTTTCCTGGAATAAGTTCTATCATTTCAGCTCAAAATAATGTTTGCATACAATGCTCTATCAAAAGTCTTTGTTTTAATACAATCATACTGACCTTGAGGTGAGACTGAAGGAAACAGCAAATCCAGGAAGAAAATGTGAAAGAGAAAGTTAGAAAGAATTAATGAAAACAATATTCAAAAATAATATTATTCATAGACATAGACAAACAAAGGACAAGATTAAAGAAGGGCAAGGAGTCATAGATTCTGCACAGGCACTAAAAATTAGTAATTTCAGATTTTCAACTCTCAACAAATGTATTTTTACGTTAGATTACATCACTGTACCTTAATGTAAGTTTCTACAGAAAAAAATTTTATCTAAAATTTGCCACTTTCTGGGATAGGGAAAAACTGTTAAACCCCAAGAAAAAGAAGAGAAGGTTAATGCTCCTCCTTTCCATTTAAGTAGTTCAGTGATTTCACAACTTTGGGCAGCTTAGTTGTACACACACACACCTTATAAGTGACTACCCCTTTACCCATCCCACTCTATTTCTTGGATCCAAGTTACCCATAAACAAACGCAGAAAAACACTGACAACTTTGGATATTTTGTAGAATACAGGACTCTAATTTATTTGGGAGAATTAAATATAATTTTCTCAAATGTGAAAACTAAAATTTTCCCGCCAAATGCATTATTTTTCATTTCAAATCTACCAAAATTTACCTCAACTGGTGCAACCTAAAAGCAATAGGAAGAAAAATATAAGGCTCTATAAACATCAATTCATTTCCAATACTGCTCAGCAGTAAAAGAACAAAGCCATGCTTAATATTCCTACACAGCATGAAACCTGTGATTCAATATTACTTTTTATAGTAGCAGACAGTTTACCTTTTTAAAAATTAATCACTGTCACTGAAATTACTATTATCCTACAGATACTTAGATTTTTAATGGCCAGTGTCATCAAGATTATCTTCAAGATCTAAATTTTACCTTAAACATATTTCTTGAATGCAAGCACCATTTCAATTTGTATTTTTAATTTTTTGTAATGTTTCATACTTAAAATGAGTTTTTAAAAGTTGTGAGAATAATGAAATAATATATTTATCCCTATTATATAAGATAAAAAGATGAAAAACAAAGAAAAATTTTAAATTCCTCACAATCACAGTGAGTAAGTGGTAGATCTAGGATAAGAATGTAGGTATACTATCTAGGGATACTTTAAATGTTTTGTGATGCTTACAGATGCCTATCTATAAAAATCCAAGACTCTTTGGCACATATAAAACAGTGTACAATACAATATTCAAAGTAAAAAAGAGGGTAAATGATTGTTCCCAATTATCTTTTTACTGGTTATGATGCAGTAAGTTAGAATAATTTCAGATCAACAATGACACTAACTGAAATCTATAGATGCAAGGCTTTATCTAAGACGGGTAAATACAATTTATTTATTTATTTTTTATTTTTACAGAGAGGAAGAGAGAGGGATAGAGAGTTAGAAACATGGATGAGAGAGAAACATCGATCAGCTGCCTCCTGCACACTCCCCACTGGAGATGTGCCCGCAACCAAGGTACATGCCCTTGACCGGGACCCTTCAGTCGGCAGGCCGACACTCTATCCACTGAGCCAAACTGGTTAGGGCTAGATAAATACATTTTTAAAAAATAAGCTTATTCCTGTCAACAGTCAACAACTTTAAGAATCTTTTTACCTATTTTACTATTCATGAGTCATATTTCACTTTGGCATCAAACTATAGCTTTGGGGAAATTAATTTAGGAGAAAAAATATGCACATAAAATAACAATATATAATTCTAGTGTTTTTACTTTCAAGTAAAAATTTAAGTACTATTAAATGCCTATCAAGACTGTAGCAACAAATTACAAGTTGTACCCACAAGAAACTTATACATAGAATTGACTATGTAAAGCTGTGTAATTTATTCTTCTTTTAAATGAAATCAGTGAAATTCAAGAAAGAAAAAGAAACAAGCAGTTTCCCCAGAAAGCAAGCTAAAGCAAGCAGGATCAGATAAGGAACCAGTCATGTTCAGTTGTAATACTCTTAGCATCTTTCTTTTCTTTTCTTTTCTTTTTCTTTTAAACACAGCTCATTTTCCCTCAACCAGGGATACACAACCATCACAGCAGCACCAGCCATTTCTCTTCAACTACGTTAAGGTTATATTCTCTGACATTGTACTTCATGAATCAAATCGATAACCATAAATTTTAAAATAAAAAAAATTATTCTCTAAGGAACCATTTTCCGCATGAATTGCATACTAGTCTATGCCAAACCTATATACAGATTAATATTAATTACTATATGGAATATATTTTAAGACATTAAACTGAGTATCAATTCAAGATTTCCTTATGGAGATATACATACAAATATGAAGATTAAATACATAGGTTTACATTTCAGGTTACACTGTGCCATAGATGCCCAAATATACTGTGATATCAATATAAAATAATCACAAACATAAAGCCCATTCTCCCAATGAAAAGATCAAAAAAATGTTTTAGATCTTTTAAAAAAAATAAACTTCCAGGATGTAGATAAAATATTTACATATCTAATTATAACAATAAATATATTTCTTTGGTTACACACATTTTAAAGGGAATACATGAGAAAATAATGTTAATATGAAAATACTTTCTTTTTAAAAATATATTTTTTATTTATTTCAGAGAGGAGGGAAGAGGGAACGAGAGATAAAAACATCAAATAATGAGAGAGAATCATTGATCGGCTGCCTCCTGCACGCCCCACACTGGGGATTGAGCCTGAAAGCTAGGCATGTGTCCTGACAGGGAATTGAACTGTGACCTCCAGATCCATAGGTCAACATTCAACCACTGAGCCACATTGGCCGGGCTGGAAAAATTTTCTTCCACTCTCACATTCAGTGAAAGAATTTTATCCACTCTCTTTGCATGCACCTTTAATATCAATTTACCAAGAACAGAAGATGTACCATTACTTTATGCATCAAGAAAGAAAAAAAAACTACACCAAGCCAATTATGCCATGCCATTATTTATACATGTATCCCAGTTCCAGAAATGTTAAACTGTAAAACTCAGAGTTAAAACTGGCATTTCATTGTGACAAAACAGGAAAATGATTATCTTTGTTTTATTTACCCTGCAGATTGAAAAGTAATCCCACTGAATTATATTAAATTTTAAGATTATAGCATGCCCTAGCTGGTTTGGCTTAGTGGATAGAGCATTGGCCTTCAGACTGAAGGGTCCCAGGTTCAATTTCGGTCAAGGGCACATACCTTGGTTGCAGGGTCCTCCCCGGACCAATCCCTGGTTGGGGCTCGTACAGGAGGCAACCAATCAATGTGTTTTTCTCACATCAATGTTTCTCTCTGTCTTTCCCTCTCTAAAAATCAATGGAAAAATATCCTCGAGTGAGGATTAAAAAAAAAAAAAAACATTATAGCTTATGAATTTACTTAAACTTTTACAGAAGGAAAAGTACGTGTACAATTGTAAACATATTACAAGCAGAGAGAAGAAATGAATATAAAAATAATAACATTTTCAGTATAATCCTATCTAATAAAAGAGTAATATGCAAAGTGAACATCACTCCAACACACAAGATGGCCATCCCCATGTGGACACAAGATGGCCAGCAGGGAAAGGCAGTTGGGGGCAAACAGGCCTGCAGGGGAGGGCAGTTGGGTGGGAATAGGCCTGCAGGGGAGGGCAGTTGAGGGCGACCAGGCCAGCAGGGGAGGACAGTTAGGGGCAACCAGGCCTGCAGGGGAGGGCAGATTTGGGGGACCAGGCCTACAAGGGAGGGAAGTTGGGGGAAACCAGGCCTGCAGGGGAGGACAGTTAGGGGTGACCAGGCCTGCAGAGTGGGGCAGTTAGGGGCAATCAGGCCGGCAGGAGAGGGCAGTTAGGGGCGACCAGGCTGGCAAGGGAGGGAAGTTAGGAGTGACCAGGCAGGCAGCGGAGGGCAGTTGGGGGCGACAAGCCGGCAGGGGAGGGCAGTTAGGGGAGACCAGGCCCGCAGGGGAGGGCAGTTGGGGCAATCGGGCTGGCAGAGGAGTGGTTAGGGGGTGATCAGGCTGGCAGGAAGAAGCGGTTAGGGGCAATCAGGCAGGCAGGCAGACAGACAGGCAAGCGGTTGGGAACCAGAAGTCCTGGATTGTGAGATCAGGCCTAAACGGGCAGTCGGACAACCCTAGAGGGGTTCCACATGGGAGAGGGTGCAGGCTGGGCTGAGGGACACACACCCCTCCCTCCGTGCACGAATTTCATGCACCAGGCCTTTAGTAAGTGTATAAAGGACTATTAAATCTCCATCTGTTAGATGAAAGTTCTGAATATGGCGGGCAATGGGAAGGAATAGGGAAGAAATGCGAGATGATTAGATGGTGAAATAGAGGAGAAACCAAGATGGCGGGATAGGTAAACACCGGAGAATGCTGCCTCGAACAACCACTTCAAAAATACAACTAAAAGACAGAACAGACATCGCCCAGAATCACAGGAAGGCTGGCTGAGGGGAAATTCTTCAACTAGAAGGAAAGAGAACAGCATACGAGACTCAGAGGAGGCGCAGTGCGGAAAATACAAAGGTGTGGAGGCACGCAGGGAGCGGGCTGGAAGCTGCGGGCGCGGTTGTCGTTTTCAATCGAAAGGGAGTCTCAGATTCTGAGCTCCCGTTCTGGGCGAGTCTCTAGGGACCCAGACTCAAATGGGAGAAGCGGGACTGTCTGGCATCGGTCGGAACGCGAGGGCAGCTTTCTCTCCGAGGTTTGCAGTGGGTG